CTGTCAAACAACATGATGAACTTACCCCGTCTGGTAGCTTGTTGGAACCTTGGACAAGGCAATTTGTTCGGGACATTCTACTTGTATGAAAAAAGGTCCCTCGCCAAAGAAAACAACAGGAACATACGTACTTCAAGCGGAGTCCTGATACAACTAGCTCCTATGTTGTTTGCCTCCCCGTGTCCCGCAGGAAAAATCACTTGAATCCCAGAATCAGCAGCGCTGCATGCCACAAGGCTGCTATCTTCCGCAGCACGCGCTGACCCAGCTGAATGTGACTCAGCTGATGCAACAGCTGCAACAAGTGGAAGCAAAGCACCGCCTAGAGCGACTGATGCGGTTGCGTTGGTCGATGTTTGTTGAGTAGTAGAGTAGAGTACCTGCTGGTCCTATAAGCCCTGGTGGCTCACACAGGTTGAATTCGCGTTGACTTGCAAGAGTTCCTGATGTTCAGAACCTGGTCATTCATTCAGTACAGAGTCTCTCCCTTCAAGGTCCACCTCTGTGAGGCTCTTCTTGCGGAGGTTGTCCGACCCCACGAGCATGTGCCGGGAAGAAGCAAAAACGAGACAGAGACGGAGACCGGTTCCTCTTCTAAGATCTAAGACCTCTCACCTGAGAGGTGGTGAACACTGAAACCACGTCGGAAAGCCGCATGATTTGGCAACTTTTCGCTTCCGGACGCATCTTCTCTGAGGCCCCACGCCGCCGGCAGCTGCAAGAGGTCCTCGCTTGCTGCAGGCTGCTCGACCAACTGGAGCAACTCCTTTTCCTGCGGAGGGTCGAGTCCGTCCGTCGCCCCTGAAGAATGGGACTTCCAACACTTTCCTTGGTTTGGATAAGATCCCCAGGGCAGCCAGTTACCTCGACGGCGCTGGTCACAAAGACAAAAAAAAATACAAGAACTATATAGACTTAGAAACCCTGGTTTCTTTTAAAGGTGGCTTGGAAACATCCACGTGAAGCATCATAGGCCACTGGAACATATACCGTACGTTTCAAAGGTTTGATGGCACTGGCCCTCAAATGCTTTTTACATGGGGATCTACTCTGAAACCATTGATTGAAAAAACGAAGAGAAGTCGCTGAAAATCTCGGTGCATCTGGCATTCTTTCTCGGGTATTCTGTGGAAATCTATCTGGCATATATTTGCATATACTCTTATCTGGCATACTTTCTGGCATTCTATCTGATAGTATCTGGCATATATTGACGTTCTATTTGGCATGCATTCTGGCATTCTACTGAGGGGCATATTTTCTGCTTTTCTTTTTGGCATAAACTCTGGCATTTTTATTTCGCAAAAACTCACACTGGATCTTCCTGGCATCTGGCATTCTTGTTGGCGGTTGAGGGCTGGTGGTGCCCACTGCGATCTGGAGGAAAGAGAGAAGAAAACCAACTGCTCCAATAGTGTTGAGTTTACTGAAGCTGTCAAAAAGATTGAATGTCTTACCTAACCCACAACGCAGAACCTGCGCCAACCACAAGGTTTCAGATTGAGCGCAGCCATGCTTCGTTCAAAAAGAACGAGTTTGTTTGAGATGCAGTTGCAAGCCTTGGTTTGCTAATACTTTTCGGGCAGTGGGAAACCACCGCCAAGGGTCCCTTCACTGCGCCTCTGTTGGGGGTGTCCCCAAAACGGCCCGAGCAAAACGCCGATCTCTGAACATGCACTCAAAGCTTCCAGAAGTTGCAGGCATCTCCTTCCACACCTCCCGTGCAGCGACCACGTCCGCCCCCCAAATCCCTCCCCTTTGCACTCTGACAAACACATCACATGGAAGTGGAAAAAAAAGCCTCCTGGAGTACTACTGTCCTCTACAAACAAGGGATCTTCCACTTCCATGAGTCAAAGTGTATATGCCCTAGGGCTCCAACCATCTCCTCAGAAGGTGGTTAGACCCCCCAATCCCACCCCAACCATCTCCTCAGGAGGTGGTTGGAGCCCTAGGGATGGACCCATGTCCTGCGACCGACCGGCCCTTCAGACTCGGCCAGGGCGGGCCGGCCGTGAGGGCCATCCCACATGGATCCCGTGGACCGGTCCAGTCTGTCACGGCTGAGACGGCTGCCATCGCGAAACAAACCGAAGAAACTGAAGGGCTTATGGAGCTCACTTCAACACCACCTCGGTAGAAAAAGAAGCACCACTCAATCCGACGTCTCCAATTCCACTCGTGTGCGACCGCCGACCATCGCTGACCTGCCCACTGCGACGACGACCGCAGCGGGCGGGTTTCGCACCATTCCCCCCCCTGGGCCTCGCACCTTCCTCCGACGAAACCGGTGAGAAGGTTCGAAGCGACGAAACCACCGTCCTGTCACCCATACTACAAACATGGGCAAAAACCTTGGTTTCACGGAGGTACTTGGAGGCCTAGGGATTGAGAATTCGACTCGACTCTGATGACTGATGACTACAAAAATGGGAGGAAGCACCCATTGCATCCAATTGCCATCACTGCAGTAAGGATGTGGATCGTCTGAAACCATCGTGGATACTCATCTAAATCAGCCCTCACTGCCCTCACGAGGTTTTGGACGGAAAGGAAGACAAGTTGTGATTCTCATCAGATTCCTAGCCCACCATTGATTTAAACGCCTGAATCCCGGACAGCTGATTCTTTAAATCAGGAACTTTAGACTACAGAATCAGGTCAACCATGGTCGACCATGTTTGTAAATGCTTTTGGTAAGGGATTTGCTTCCATCCTTGAAAGTCCACCTTCGGTGAAGCATATATAGTTGCACCTTCTAACCTTTTCTCTCCCGGGTCCCATTCATGTCTTTCCTTGTATCACCTGCCCACCCTCTACAGTACACTTCCCGGAGAGGTGTGTTGATGGTGACCCAATCGCCCAACTGCTCACACCTGCGAGGCAGCTGCTTCGGCCGCGCGTGCGCCAGCTGGATCATCCGCAGCTTCAGTGCTCGCAGCTGCTGCCGCGCCGCCGGCGCCCGCGCGTCGTCGCCGTAGAGCACGTCGGGCACCGGCGTGGCCAGGCAGCGCGAACGGTCGCCGCAGGGCATCGACCAGAGCTCCGGGCGCGTGGAGACGAGGCGCAGCATGGCGGGCGAGGCGCGGAAGCCCGCGGAGGAAGCGAAGGAAGTCAAGTCTGTAAGGAGGTGTGAGTGTTTAAGTTTGGGTGGTCATTATCTAGTAATAGGATGTATACTAACTAGGTTTAATGGCCTCCCCCGGAACAATCGAAGTGAAAAGGGACATTCACTTGAAAACCAAAACCACAGTTTGCAGTTTCAAGTCTGGCGGTATATGTGAGGTCATTCTGGAGGGCGAATGGCATCCAGAACTCATTGCTTTTGGTCTGGTGGTGTCTCTCACTTGGCCCCGGTTCGCAACCGGTCCCTGTGGCTTTTGGATCATCCTGGAGATACATATGTGTGGTGGTCACGAACAACTTGCCATTGGCACCGTGCAGTCGGTATTTGGAGCACCAAACATGCAAATCACAGCAGTCCGAAACACTCCATGAGACTGGCATGACTCCTTGTATTTACTTACACTTTGGTGGTTGATTTCAGGGGTCAACGGGCCGGGCCATAGTTCTAGTTCCATGGATGGTCCGCTTGGCGAACGGGCACTTGGGGCTGGTGGAGAAAATTCGAAGTAAAGCTGGGAAACAACATGTGGAGTACATTTGTTCTAGTGAAGCTACAATCAGTCTTAGGTTAAATGAAGATGATCTACTTCCAACGTGTCACATCAGACTTCTTCTTCTGAGAGCTGTCTTGTAAAGCCTCGTGGCTCAAGAGCATGGCTGCGGATCAAACATAAGAGTGCTTGGAAGCTTAAGCTGGCTGGCAGCAAAACGCACGAAGCCCTGACCCTCCAGCTGTGTCAGGAGTCCGTAGACCTTCAGCCCTTCTTTTCGAGTATCAGGAGTCCGTAGGCCTTTTGCGAGTCCAATTCAGTCGATTTCTTTTGCAGGCCAGAATCATTCTCTTTCTACTTCCTCCAGCTGTACAAGTCTGCCACCTTCCTCTTCCTCTGATCAAGCGTCGCTTCGACAGCCGGAAAGCACCTCTGGTCCGAGATTGCGAACATGAAACAGCAGACTCATCTCAACAACATCCCCTCAAAATACCCTCAAAATACCCCACAAAATAAAAAAACACCAACACGTGTCCTTCCAGTGGTCCCCAGTCCAGTCGTCCAGTCCCCAGTTCGGTCATCCGTCCCACCAGACAGTCCGGTTGGATCGAAGAACACGTATGGATCGAGGATGGCGCAATAGGTCGACACTGCGACCTCTTTGAAAGATTTCATGTCTTGGGTTCAGGGAGATTTCTAGGCAGATAAACCTTAAAATATCTTAAAATATATGAACCTCTAGACAAATAAGTTCTATCTGTGAAATCTATATAATCTAGGCTCAGTCGGATCGTGGAAATTCCCGGTCTGAAGGGTTCCCATCTTGGCTCTGTGGTGGACTCAGTGACCATGTTTTTTGGGCAAACACCGCCAGTCAAAAGCCGGTTGGTGCCAAGGCATCCAAGCCCGAATGAAACCCACCTCAGGCCTTGAGATTGTAACATGTACGAGTACGTGCGCAGCAAGCTTATTTACCCACATACATTGGGCCCTTTTGAACAAATTCCTATTCGTACCCTTAAGATCCTTAAGACTAACCCTAATGTAAATACATCATACACGGAGTGTCTGGGATATTTCGAGCGAAAGTCACCCTATCGCACCTCTTTGCGAAGCTACTGAGGTCGATGTACTGGAAGTTGGACACCAAACGATTTGGTGCCAATGCAAGGCTACCGGCTATAAAGTTAATTCAACATATTGTCCGACAATCCTGTATACCAGGATCATCCAATGGGTGTCCAATGGAGGTTTGTGAGTAGTGTAGGGTAGTCTATATGGTCCAGGTATGGAATGGTCTGGCAATGGAACCACAGCACATGGGCCTCCACCACCACCACACCACCGCCCTGGTGTTTCGAAGATCTGCTTGGGAATCCCGGCACTGCGTCGAGCTTCCACACGGGCCGGGAGAATGCCCAAGGAGGGAATGCCTGGGCGGCTGAATCACTACGCTGTTCTCAGGTGTTGATCCTATGACACCGCGCTTTTCGGGGGCCCCTGGCATGGAAGGTTGACCGACCTTGATCCGACAAAGCACCGCAGATGGATATGGCACACGCTGTCAGAGTCCCATGGATTGTTCGGGCACGAATAGCACTCTGCTCCTCTGACCTATTTACGGTGGTTTCAGAGTAGATGGCACTATCCTCAAGTTTGGTGGTTTTTTAAAAGACATCATGGGGTCTGTGCTATCTACCCTGAAACCACTGTAGGTGAATCAGAAAACCTTCCATGAAACCCGACGAAGTGACCAAGGTGGCCGGAGGTCAATGAAGTCAAACAGTCCAAAAGTCATGGATTCTTTGGAGATGTTTGGAGATTCGAAGAACCACGAAAATGGATCCAACCTTGGGTGGTGTTTTTGGAGCGAACCTGCTATCTGAAAAGCTTTCGAGACTACTGCCCACCTGGTGGAACGTGATCAATCACATCACGTAAAGACCCAACCTGGGACGTTACACCCCTCACTGTTGAACATGTTGAACTAGGGCTTGGAGCACCTCTCCCAGTTTCACATCACCAAGATGGGCTGGGATTCTGCGGGGTCAACTAGTGCACACAAAATGTGCCACATGCTTGCTCCGTGTGCTACGTGTGGGGCTCGCATGGCCACCCAAAAAGCTCAACCACACGTAGATGGGCGGGGCTCAAACGGCGTGGGCGCAGCCCGTCACGGTTGCTTCAAGAAGGGAATCCGATCTGCGAATGTTCTAGGAGAGGGGATTCCCCCATGGTAGCACCCCTGACAGAGTTGACCTTACATGTTAACCATGGTCTAGAATCTATGCCAGGTATCTATTCCCAAAGAAATACGAAAGATCACCACTCTCCCCTATCTCTCACAACTCTCCTGAGCACTAAGGCACTAAGACCCTGACCCTTCAGCACGGGATCCAAGAGCAACAGCACCAAGGTCTCGACCGTGTCCTCGATCCGTCCATAGACCTTGGGTCGCACGTCGGTCGCACGGTCCGCGGGCCGTTGCTTCAGCCTCTCGTCCGCGTGGGCCGTGGGTTGTGCGGTCCGGATGTGCCGATATGGACGTCGAGCTGGTGCTCGCCGGCCGAGAGAGTGGCCATCCAGTGGCACGACGAGTGGCACGGTATGGCATCGATTCATCGGTTCACGTGTCGCCGACTCATTGAAAATAAGGATGGCACTCGATATATAGGGATTGAACAAAACGGAAGACTCTCCAACAGGACGGGAACCGTTTGAGGTGTTTTGAGCCCCTATGAACCTACTATGGAGGACAACATTGGGAACCTGTAACTGTAGAATCCATGCATGCAAACGGGTTGTTTCTGAGGTCGTCTCCTGATTTCATGTCTTTCAAGGCGCATGCAATTCTCCTAAAAGTTCACCGGCGAAGTACATGAAAGAACACCGGCGAATGACACCATCGACCCGAACGTTGGTGCGTCACTCGTCACTCGTCACTCGTTCGATTCGGTGTTTCAAAGAGATGCCGTTGTGTTCGGTCATGGTCCAAACCGTTGAGGTTCCAACCGGCGAAGAAGGGCGTTCTTTTTGGGGCACATCTGACCCAAACACGACCAGTGACTAGCATATGTATACAAACATTGGGGTGGTTGAACAGGGGTCCATCTGCTGAGTGACCTCTATCTTGGAGCATCAACCATCCAAAAAATATTGTCTTTTCCTATCAAAACAAAGCTCACCTCCTGGCACGTATACATAACAGTGCCACCAATCACCATACGTGAGAAGGTACGACGACTGGATCCCTGGCCTCTTGGAACAAGGAACAAGGAACCATCGCTACGAACGGAGCCAAACGCGTATTTGTTACTAATAGGGAGTAGACTTTTTGATGAATCATACCCCCAAACCTGAAGAGGACGCGTGCATCCAAATGGGATGGTTTATGTACCTCTGGGAGTCTCTGGACCTTTCACGGTGCACCGCCGAACCCCCCGAACCCTCCGAACCGGTTCGGCCTCCACGGGATCCATCGAGGGCGTCAACGGCGTCTCCGGTTTGCCTGGCAGCGGTTCAGCTTCAGCTGGCCAGGGGGACCACCGGGCGGTAAGGAAAACCTGGGTGCTGACGTGGTGTTCTGTGATGTTGAGTAGATCAGATGTAGATATCATTAGGATAAGAACTCTGGAAGGACTGGTATAGGTGTTTGATTGGTTGTAGATGTGAGAAACAAAGGAAAAGTGTAAGACCGAACGAACATCATCAAGATGCCAACAAACCTCAAGCGGAATAACTTCATCCATCTGAACCACTGCTAGTCCCTAATTCTCTGTTGATTCTTCCAACCATATAGCATATCTGTGTCCTTGTCTTTTTGGTTCCATTCCGTGTGTGTTTGCCAGAAAAATTATAGAATCTCAAGCGAATCAAAGGTATCGAGCATTGGTCAAACTGGAGTTTTTTGTGGCAGAATGGTCGAGTTTAGTTGCCCCGTTGCAATCCACGAACAACCCAAGACCATCCATGTATCTGGTTGAATTGTAATATTTCGTAGGTCGTTGGGTCGTAATTTAGTATTTCCCAATTGAATTAAGGGTTAGGTCGTTGAAATAAAACATATTATGTGAGGTCGTGGGGTTCGCCGCGGCCCACGGCGTGGCTGGAGCGCAGCGGCGGAGATGAAGGCCTGCCGAGGGCAAAGCCATCAGTTGGAACTCAGGATGTCCACCCTTGGTTCTCCAGGTGTTCCACTAGTGCCAAACAATTAACAATAGAAAGAGATAGAGAGATCCAATACACAGAGATCGCTCAGTGTTTGGTGTCAGGTTGCTGCCACTGTGTCGAAACCTGTGGCCCCAACCTGGCCAAAGCGGACAAAACTGTTCAGGGTCCAATTTTTTGTTTTTCCGGGAGGGCCACTTTCAGAACATGACCCAACAGAAAAAGAACGCGTTCGGTAGCTCGAAACCTCGGACCAAGTGGAGCTAAACGGAAATAAACTTTTCAGTGTCCAAAAAGTGCCCTCAGAACATTCCAGTGGTCCGTCCAACACAAAGAGACCGCGTTTAGCGCACCTCTGGTTTAAGCTCACTGAGTCGTTTGGTTTGGTTGCGATCACAAGATAAGAGACGCCATCCTCCCCGCAACTGCGTCTCATGTGAATTAGCCCTGGCCTTTGTGTATGGGTAAGTCAACATCTCAAAGTCTTCAGCAACATCATCTAAAACACGCATAACGCGCATTTTACTCTGTCTGGTTCAAGGTGTCAAAGAGGTCATCCCCCTCTTTCTGTGTTGGCAACCCTTTGGCGCCAATGGCAGCAGGTCCCTCGACTTGCCCTCGTGGCTTCTCTCGCCCCTTCGCTTTCCGAGGCAGCAGGTCGGCCTTCCTGATACGAGCAATCAAATCCCTACGGATCAATGACTCCGTTTTACTGCGTCGCATTTTCCAAAGTTGCAAGAAAATGTGACTATCAAAAACTTTTGTTACTCGAAAGTGTTTATCGTATTTTCCTAAGTTTTTTCTATATTTAACTCGTTGGTGTTGTATATATAAAGAGGTCTATCCCTATTTGAAGGCAAAAGGCAAAAGAGCTGGATGGTACCTACAAACCCCTCATGCCTTTGGAGGAGCCTTGCTAATTCGGACCTAAATTAGTGAGCAGGTGCCAGTATACACGTTCACCCCTTTACCGTGACTCTAGCGTGACTCCCCCCGTTGCTCGAAGTTTTGTTTAACAAAAACTTTAAAGAAGCAGAAACAAGTGTTGTATATAAAATATATACAACACTGTGACTCTACCTTGACTCTAGCGTGACTGTAGCGTGACTCTACCGTGACTGTAGCGTGACTCTACCGTGACTCCAACGTGACTCCCCCCTTGATCGAAGTTTTGTTCAGCAAAAACTTTAAAGAAACAAGTGTTGTACATACATAAAACTGTGACTCTAGCGCCTGGAATGCACATGTGTGTTTTCAGGGATCGTCAACTCTGGAGGGCAGCATACTGAGCGATATGCGGTTAAAATTGCACGCGTGAAGCTTGCGATTGCCAAGAAGAGATTGGCGCGTGTGGATGTTTACAACGCATGGTGCAGGTAAAAAGGCGCTTTTGACCTTGCTTTTTGTTGAAAAATGTGCTGCTAGGACTTAATTAAGACATATATCATATATCGATCATCTATAAATTTTGATAAAATGTTAACAAAATATGACGCCGTTAACCTGCGTCGCATTTCGTACATCCAAGGAAAACTGCGTCGTTGGATGTGTATACGGGAATTGAAATCTCGGGGATTTATGGTCGCACGCTTGGCGGCGTGAGCAGCAGCGAAAGTGACATTCTCAAACAATTCCGTGAGATACCACTCGCACGCAAGCTGAAGACAGTGCAGGGCCTCAGTGGACATCCGCAAGTCCGAGTCCTGCTCTGAGAGGAACTGCATGACACATCGAGAGAAAGCTGTCTTGGGTAGAAGCAGTTCCGGCGCACCTGCGCTCTGAAGAAAAGCGATCCTGAGCAAGGCCGACTTGGCAAACTAGCTGGCTTATGACTTTTTGGCCTCTGACAAGCCAACAACAACAAAAAAGCACTTGGCGTGCTTGGTGGTTGACGCGCTGGTGAGCTGGGCGCATCAGTGGAGGTGCTCTTCTTGTGGATGGGCGACGAAGCATGTTGGTGGAGCGTGCGCTCATAGAAGTATTTTTCTATGCTGTATCGCCCAGCGGCAAACCCTCTCTTGGGCTTTTTGCTCTGAAAGGCCATGCACTCTTATCTTGCCCATCAGTCTCCAAGGTCCATGGGAAGCCAGAGCGGTGTTTCAACAAATTGTGTTCTTCTTTGGAACTAGTAACTTTGGCCGTCCTCCATTGTGACTCTAACTAAGACAGCTCGAGCGCTGAGCTGTTGAGTGAACTCCAACTTAGACATGTTTAGGCTCATGCAGCAGACCAGACCCTCAACTAGCCACATAAAAATCACTGAGTGACTGCACCCCGTACCAGCGTCAGCGCCCAACTCAACCCGCGCCTCCCAAGCAGCAAGGTGATGATGTGAGCAGAGCTGCCTCCGATCCGGTGGGGACCCGAGCTCTTTTGTGTCTGACCGCATGCGTGGCTCAGCCCTCGGAAAAAATTGCTCGTGGCCTGAACAGTGCCTGTCAAGAGTGGGCTTTTCACCCGTAATCATTTATCTTGAAGCCTTTTGCAAAAGGTCCTGTGGCCTAGTGGCCTCTGTCGCGTCCACCTACCGCAGGTCTCTGGTTCCTGGCCTGAAAAGTATTTTTGGGGGAAATGAACTCGACATACCCCAGGTCCATGGCTCAAATCCTGCCAGAAGTTAAAAAAACATTTCGTGGCCTGAACAGTTTTTTTTGGAAATTAGACTCGTCCACCTACCCCAGGTCCCTGGTTCAAATCCTCCCTGGCGCTGTCTTATTCTAGCTCGGCGGTGTTTCTCTGCAGTCACTGCCCAGAAGTCAAAAACAACTTTTCAATGGCCTAAAAGGTTTTTCTTTGGGAATGCACTCGCCCAGCGCCATTTCAGTGCAACGCGCGAAGACTCCCAAAGCAGGAAGCTCAGGAAAACAGCTCCCCACAAAAAAAACAGATGGGAGCCAACCCCCTGGCTGGGCCCAGTTAGACACCAGGCAGCCGAGCCCAGGTCCCACCGCGCCTTCCAGCAAAGGTGGCGCCGCCAGCACGCCGCAGCAAAGAAGTTGGGAAAGAAACGAGGTGTTTGGTGTGCGGGAGGGGGAGAGAGATGGTGCCTAAAGGGACCATATAGCGACCTCACCCAGTATAGTCCCTTAATTCCAAATGTTAGGTCGCAATTTCGGGGTGACGTCGGGTGAGGTCGCTATACTTCGACCAGAATGTAAGTATTCCAGGCATGGATAGTCTGGGTCTGGCAACCTTCTTTGCCTCTTCTACATGACATACTCCTGAAGCTGGAGCTTCGTCGCAGTAGGGTCCCAGTCATTAAATGGTCTTTCGAACAAATCTGCTGCAACCGCGCACGCGTGTTTCGATATTCTTCTCTCACCTCCATAACCCGCAGCCCTGTAGGCTTGACTGACCACATGAGCCGAGGTGTCCTGCGACGATCGGCTTCGCCGTTCACGTCCCCCGTCGCCGTCGTCGCAGTCGTCCGGTGAAGTTCGATCGAGTGGTCCGATGACGTCGCCGGTGCGTGCCCCTCGGCGATGTTGGCTTCCTTTCTTGAGCTGCTTGAGGTATTGGGAAGATGTTCTCGCTGCTTGTATGGAATTGAAACAAGGAGTCCGAAGCCATTCCCCAGCGTGGGAAGAAAATGGACGCACTTCCAGGTTCCCCATGTTTTTTTTTTGTGGCCCTGGTTCCATGTTAAACGCCGGGAGTGTGACTGTTTTGTCATTGTTTCATGGTTTCTTCATGCGGACTTCAAAGGCATGGTCCTTACGCCCATGCGTTCGGGCACGCGACTGGACCCTCACCAGCAAAAGCACCCTCGTCCACTGGCACTTTTGCCAGCTCTTCGGAAATTACAGAGTCTTTCAGAGTATCCACTCAAACGGGCCTATTGCTGCAAGCTCTCAAATGTTTTAGTTCTGCACCAGAACTACATACAACATCATTCATCTCACTCAAACTGCGAAAAAAAAAGACCAACAGTTTTCAAACCCTCCTAGAGTCCTAGAGAGGTTGAAGTTCTCTTTTTGTTCGCCTATCCGTATGAGGTAGGGTCCCAGTTCAGGTCTCACAACCTCTCTTGGCCCTTGGCTGTGTCAAGGCCAAAGAACCAAGGCATAGACCTGCAATCCTTGGACTGTCGACACTTTCCATGTCGTTTCTATTCCATGAACCAACGAGCAGCCATGGATTTCTTGGAGGACTGGTCTCAAATGTCTTGTCCGAGGAGCCAAGGGGGTTGATCTAACTCTGAGTACCAAGTACCAAGGGTAGACCCTCAACTTCAAGCTGTAGCTCATGAAAGAAACGGTTCGATTCATCACCCACAAAACATATAGTGTCAGAGCTGCATGGTGGAACCACAGTGAATACAAGTTCAGGGTTCTTCTGTGAGTTCACTACAGTTTGGATCACTGATGGGGTGTCGGATGGGAGTGTGGTGATCAACAAGGGGTTTGACCACCTTCTGCTGGAAAGGCACCAATCAGCCCGATTCTGGACTTCTCAGATTGATGCCGATTCCCCCGATGCCGATTTTCCGACTCAAAACTCTCCTTGACCGATTGCTTCAAGCCAGCCAAGGCATTCACTCCTGGCTGGGACAGATAGGGCCGGAACTGAGGTGTCCCCGAAATTCTAACTGGGTTGTAAACATCCTCCATGAGTGAACTCTCCCTGGTTCGGAGAAATCCACCAAGTGGGCCAAGTCTTGATATCCTATATCCACAAAACAAAGACACGTACGTCTGCACCCCCCTCCTCAAACCAAACAGCGCCCACACCAAGCCCGTGCGCGCGTGAAACGCGCGGGGCGTGGCGTCGCAGCGAGGGTTCGGTCCTGGAGCAGTCCACGACAGCAAAGACGACCTGGGTTCCGTGGACGAGTGGCGCTTCCACTGCGGGGAGACTGAGAACCCCACGGACTCGACGAGAAGGTCCAAAAGTGTGAACCAGGTTTTTTGGCAAAATGTTTGGTATACTGAGTACCCCCCTTCTGGTCCATTGGAAAAGGAGACGTGAGCGACTTCAGAGAAGCTCCATCACTTCTGACGCCAGGGTCCTGAGTTTCCACGACCTAGCTAGCTGCATCACCGAGCCCATCACTTCTAGCTCCTATCCAAACCTTCGAGCTCCATCACCGAGCCAACGCCCAAGGTTTTCTTGTTGCGTGGAAACTGGTGGCAGAACCTTCGCCTCTTACCACCTGGTGACAGACGGTTTGTTTTCCGATGGTCGCTGTTCTTGAAGCAAATGATGTCTTTGGGGAGGACCCCAAAACACCCACAGCTGAAGGGTTTGGGGGATGCGAACAAAACAGAACGCAAGTGTCGATGGAGAGGAGAACTACAAATTGCCCTGCAGGTTTTTCACATTTCTTACGAGCTCAGTTTGTCCATAAATGTTCTACCCAGACGCTCCAAACAGGCCTTGGTCCCTCAAAACGAGGGTGCGGCCTACTTAGGAAGGTCCATGATTCTGGGTACTGTTCTCGAACCGAGGTTGCCTCTGATGCCTCTGAACTGCTCAAAATTGCGCATCAAGTGCACCCCGGAAAGATCCTACATTTACTTCGAAGGCTCAAACAATGTAATTAATCAGTTGATTTTTTTGGAGATTCTATCCTAGTCGATCAATTACATGGTTGGTTACTAGGATTTAATTAGAATCCACGAGGATGTTCCGGATAAGTACATGTTCAGATTCTATCCTAGTCGATCCACATAACTCTTGAGAAGTTTCTTGGATCTGGTGGCTGGTCGAGGTAGGTCGCCACCTTTTGAGGGCTTGTTCTTAAACTTGCAATGAACTTGACTGAGTTGCTGGCAATACACAACCATTGCACGGATTGTCAAACACATATTTCTCCAGGATTCCATCTTCATGTTCCAAACATGTTCCACATCAGTTTTGGGTGGAGTCCGAGTCCAACAAAACCAGCAAGAACAAGTACAAAAAGAAGAAGAAACAATAAGAATAATAAGAACAATAACCACAACAACAACAACAAAAACCACAACCACAACCACAACCAGAACCAGACCCACCAACACAACAAACGCAAACAACAACGGAACAAATATCACCCGCCTACCGGAACATCTGCTTTCGCACCCACCAGTAGCTGACAGCTTGTTCGTCCCGTGGCAAATGCTGACCAGTCGCGACGTAGGAGAGGTCGCGCCGCTGGCTCCGCTCGCTTCGGTGCCACCTTGCTTTGAGCGGATGTGGAGCACCTGAGGACCTGAGGACTGGACAACTAATTACATGCATTTGAGTCAAACAAGGACTACCCTGACCCCCTCAGTTTTCCTGGAGAAAAAGTCCCTCTGGTCCCTCTTTCTTTTCAATGACATTTAGGTTAGCCTAACCTTCCACTTATTGGATTTGAGTTGAGAGACCAATTCCCCAAAAAGGCACAGTGTTATCCAGTGACTGGGTACCAGTACAGGTGAATTGTTGATTGATAGCGGCCCCCCAGTTGGATAGTAAAACCTCTGACTCTCCACATTAGGTGGCAAGCACGCCGTTTTCTGCGTGGTCTGTTAAAATGGCGTCCTTGAATGAGAACTTTCAGAGAGAGGGTACCAAATCCAGAGGTATCCTCACATCGATCATCAGCTTGTTGCACAGCCAATAGACAGAGCAGCAGCAACAGCAGCAGCAGCAGCTTTCTCAACACCTCTTTCTGCACCGGTTTCTCTATACCACTGTGCCCTTGCACGGCTGACTGTGCCTGACCCGCTAGGTCTGCGTTTAGCGACATTCTGCCAGGCCCACTTGGGCATCCTGTTGATGCAAGCGGAATCTTATTTTCAAACCTCTTGTGCCATATAATATACCCTTTTAAGCATGTTCACCCATCACTGATCAATGCTTAAGTCCAAGAAACGGTCGTGGAACTGGTCACTCATTTGATATTCAGACTCGCTGGGTTTTGGGAGTCTGGCTCTCGTTCAAGGGTACCCAGCAGCATGGCTTTCCCGGCGGCCAAACGAAATCACTGTGTCTTCCAATGCGGTAGGTGTATGCCATGTGCTGTGACTGGACCTAGAGGGAAAAACATTACAGAATTTATAGTCACCAGTTGCCTGCAATGACTACCAGTACTAATTTGAAAAACATTCCAGGTACTACCCTGTCATGCAAAAACCATGTTTTCTGCGCCCCCTAAGTGTTCCTGGAACAGAACGGTTGACCTCCTTCGACCTGATCGTTTTGAGCGTACTTCCTGAGTAGGTTTTGGGCAAGTCTCGATACTTGGATCTTGTGTCATGCCGCTCTCTCAAGGAGTCACTGGAAGGGTACAACCGTGGAAATTGGAAAAACTGGGCTCTGATGTGTGTGCCTAACACCATCTTGACCATGTTGACCACGATTGCTGAAATGATGCCTTAGTTTTTGTGGACCTCATGACTACCAGTACTTGCTGTTGAAGCGGTTGAAGGTTCCATGGCGAAAGCATCACAGTGAAGAACGCCGCAGAAACTCCCAATCACACAAGCGAAACAAGGGGCACACCCAGCGCAACAAAGGTTGTTAGTTGTTGGCCCAATTTCCGGGACTTGAGTCGAGAGCTTGCGGCAAACAGAGATGGTTTTTCAATATGAGGAGGGTCGCTGCAAGAGCTCCGATTTGATTCAAGCGTTTTCGCCTTTTGTGCGCTGATCTGAGGTATCTCTGGTGTAGATAAAACAAACCCGGAATCCTGGTTGACTCCTAAAAGTGTGCACAATAGACTGCTAGAGCCCACAGCCATAGAAACGATGAGTCGAACAAATACGCCACACATGTTGTGAACGTTTTTTTTTCCCCCGACTGCAGTCCTGAACGTACCCTCACTCCAAGCCGGTCACAAAAGGCAAATGGAAGCTACATCAATCCAAAAGCCGGACCATCGTGACGGTGGGTGTCGTAGTCGCTCCTTGCCTGGCACTTCTGAGTCGCCAGGCTCACCTGAGACAGCTGCGGAGTCGCCAGGCTCCAGATCCGTCTCCAAAGGAGTTAATCTGTCGGGTCCCAAAAAAATACACACAGCCCAAGATGGGAGATGGTCACATAAAAACATCTGGTGGTTGGCTATATACAGAAAAACACAAGAGACACACGCAAACAAACATCATACAGAAATTCACCCAAATGGGAGATGGTCATTCATTCATGATCCAATCTGATTCGATTCCATTCGACTCTTTTCAGACTTCAGGATCCCATCAAAACTGGCTCTCTCGTCTGACTCAGCATGGTTGAGTTTTTTTTTTTTTGAATGGTGCCTTTTCCAGCAAAAAACGAGCAAAGGAAACCAATCAGTCAATCCCCGAGTTTCTGGGTGATGTGCTGCAGGGTGTTGTGGAGATGTGGAAAGCGATCAATGACTCAACTCAGGTCCTGCTTGGCCCATGGTAGCGGTCGTCAATAATAGCAGGACCAAGCTTTGAAACATGTTGAACATCATACAGTTCGTAGAACCTCGACCAGTCAAGCCAAGCCTTCTCTATCGAACCTGCGTGAAAAGGAGTGCTTTCAAATTTCTTGATACGTAGCTTTCAAGATCTTTCCAGGTTATACAGTCATAGTTCTATAATGTTCTATAGTATACCTGGTGCCCTGGTTGGAATAACACTTCCGGATCATGTTGCTAAATGTTACCTTTCTGACTGTTTATTCTTCAAAATTCCCATCATTGAACATTGAACGAGCCTTTTTCGGTGTTCTTTTGAAAGCTGGAACGGTTACCTTCACCTAAATCCAGCTACTTGGCTATTCAGCTTCCGGAGGCCACCCTGTTGGCAGTTTGAGATCATCTCTCGAGATATCTGACTGTAGGCTGCTTCATCAACACAAACTGGTGCCCAACCTCCCCAAAGCCTTCCTTCTCCACCTCTCTCTCCGTCTCCCGGCGCGCCCAATCTCCCCTCCCCACCCGAAACACGCCGACCTGGTGCAAGGAGCTCGGCGGCGTCGAGAAGCTGTTGCATGGGGCGACTGCAGACCTCCTGCGGACGAAACCAGACCGCGCTGCGGAGCCAGCTCGACCGGGGGTGCGAAGCTGCTGTGTAGTGGCTTTTGGGTGATGGAGTCACGAGTTTTGGGGGGGAGAGGGAGAGGGAAGGAAGGGATCAACTCAATCATTCATGAGCAGCAAACACCTAACTTCATGGGTATGAGCAAAAGCAATTATGGCTAGTCTAGGAGCAAAAGCAAATCAATCAATAGCAGCTTCCTCTGAACTTTGCATATGTTCCCATGACCAAGACTCATATGTTCCCGTATCTGCTACAACGCAGAGTCTTTTGGATGCTTTAGGCAACAACTGGTTGCGGCTCCGTAGGCCACACATCCCCTCCAACTACTCCAACTACGTGTCTACGTTGTGGCCTTGTGTCCCCAACACCCCATGGCAGGAAGAGCATGTGGTCTTATTCTTGGATTTGCAGTCCAGGAACCAAACAAAAAGTAGAACAGTAGCACATTTGTTCCCCAGGTTCGGGGATTCAGTCGGTTCGGGAAAACATCGACATGTTCGCAACACCAGGTTCTTGGTATGTGGAATTCATAGGAATCTGTGCGGTCCGCAAACGCTGCCTTCTCAATGTTTGGCAAGGATCTAAAGTGCACTGCCCAAGTAGCTGGAAAAAACTCGTGAGCTGGAAAACGTGAACACGTTTTCCACCTCCGAGTCTGATCTGCTTTCCATGCAACAACCTCAGATCCAACTTCTTCCAGCAGCTTCGGAACACCTGGTGCTGGACCTACCAAAGACCTCTACCAAAAAACGTCCGTCCTGGTGCCTGTCAGACGGTTCATGGAGACGCCAAACAGGACACCAAACGGCACAAGGCTAGTGGCTAGCGACTAGCATTCCCGCCCAAGGGATATCACATCCACCAAGTGCGCTCAGCACATCGCCGACTTCGATTGAACATTATAAAAAGAAAAGAAAACGACCTGGCCAGGTTAAATTCCTCCCCTCCGGATTGGAGCGTTTGGATTGGAGCGGCAGAGCTGAAACGACGACCGACACTGCAGGTATAGGGGCCACTTTATAGGTTCGACTCCCACACCTGCTCCTTCTGCTCCTTCAAAGGTGCTGGGAACTTTTGGGTGAGAAGGGCAGTTTGAGGTGTCTGGCTACTTCGGTGTCCCTTTCTTCCAAACGCATCCCATACCCTCAGGATCCAACCACTTCCCCTCCCATCTCAACCCCTTCCAAACCACCTTTGAAACGGAGGTACGTACTTGGAGACCCTATAAAAGGCATCTACCCATCGAAGTGACGCTCGCGCTTTGTGAGGAACACTCCCACCTCATGTGCTTCGACCGCCTCCAGTTCTGCTTGAATCTCTTGGCCACAGCGCCAGCACCTGTAGGGGCGCATGGTAAAGGGCACAAACACACACATAAACACATCACCAAACAACACCAAACACCAAACCGTGTGCATGGGCATTTCAATGACCACCCGTCAGCTGGACCCCAAAATGCCTTGGACCCTTGGACCCTGTTACGACCCGCTCCGACTCGCCCACCGAATCGCCCTTCGCCGGAGGCGTCGGACACACCAAGGCTCCGGTGCCAACCGAGGCTCAACCACCTTTGAGTTGGATAGCAAGGAACAAGCGTTGTTTCATTGTAAGGATCTGTAGTACTACAAAACCAGGTCAATCAACCTTTCTTTGTAAATTGTTGAACGGAAGGCTAAGGTATAGCTATATATATATATTCTCTCTCTGGAAGTGCCATTTCCCATCTGCGTGGCATTTTCGCGAGAAGGAGGGAGATGGGACATGTATCTGTCCGAATCGAAACGGATGTATCATGATGTATCTGTACTCCGTTGGTCTCTGGTGAAAACAAAGTGGTTTTTAACCCCCCCAAACCTGGCGGTTTGTGTGTGTTCTTCACTCACTGGTTCAAACAAGCGAGTCACCCAAGGCGGTGATCTTCTGTGGAAACGCGGAACCCAGTCTGACTTACTCAAAGCCTTGTGGAGACTCACCAATTACTCCGACAAACTGACCTTATTGGCATAAACACAAAAATGTTCATTGTCAGAAACGTTCCTTCATTTTTGCACGCCAGCAATGTGCACTTGAGAATCCTAGAAGCAAAAGGCCAGGTGTTGCACCAAAACGCCACCGAAGCGAAAACACCATTCCCTGGCAACCACAATCAACCCCTTAGAGTTGGGGACCTAAAAACCATTCCCTTGGAACTTGCTGTTTGCATCTGTTTGCTGCTTGCTCTTCCAAAAGGGCCGGTCCAGCACCCGCCCGTCACCCTTCCAGCCTCCCGACGGCCAATTTGGAGGGCCTGCCGAACTCGACCGAAGCAGCGCGCGTTTCGACCCTGCACAATCGCATGTCCATTGATGGCCATCTTCGGAGGGACAGGTCGACCGATCGAAATGGAAGTAGGAACTCAGACCTCCAAAACCCTTCGAAAATGAGGTACCTTCACCCTACGGGTGTAGAGAAACCACGCGAATCGGAGGAATCGGAGAAACCGGTTGATCTTTCTGATCCGGGCAGCTTTTTGAACGCCAGATCTCAGGTCGGCCACAGAAAGGAAAATACTATGAATTTCCATGTGTTCAGTTTTACAGTCGAGAAGTGACTGGATTGGTGAGTGAATAGCAGGAGACCTTCAATGTCAAGTAGGCTTGGCTGGAGAGCAGGACGCTTGGCTGGAGAGCAGGACGCTCTGGGCAGTGCACTTTCAGTTCATTTTGGAATGACTCACACAGCTTCAAAAGTTGGAGACCCTGTGGGACCCTTACAAGGAGGTAACTCTTAGCAAATAAGTTGATTAGTATACCAAGTGATTTGTATCTTTCACGTCGTTCTCGAAGCATGTCTATGTTTCAAGCAACAATATTAGCATAGAATTCATATAACATGCCAAAACACTTGGCAATCTTCTAAAGTTGTTTCTCGTTAAAAAAAAATAATTATCATAATTTCTCCACTTTTCCTCGAGGAGAGTGCTCCATTGCCAGATTGTTTGCTGTCAGTGTTGTTGACAGTTGGTTTCCCAATTCCTCATCTAGTTCTTACATCATTGGGAGCCAGATGCCACCCCCCAGATATAATATCTTAGCAAGGTTTGTGTTGCAATACCATATCAGGACAGAAGCACTTGGAGAGCTATCATAAACATTGTCAAGGCACAAAAAGCGTTAGTAAGGCTCCAGGCTTCTTCATATTAAGACGTATTGGAGGGCAAATGTTGACTTACTTAAATTTGGGAAATCCGCCGGCTTGCCGGCGTGTCTTGTGGATCTTGCTGGCTTTTGTACTTGTTGTGTTTGTCTTGTGTTTGATTGTTGTGTAAATTGCCCCTTGGCGCGGATTTTTGCCTCGTCTAACTTCAACCACCCCCCTGTTTCTGGTTTTTGCCCCCCCTTTCGCGGTTGCTTCATGACGGCTTACTGTTATATGTACGCTCTTACGCAATGCATACGACTGCCAATATTTGGCTCAAGGTACACTTTGTGCGATAGAAAAGCCGCTTAGCTCGCCTTCGCGCGCACGCTCTTGTGACAATTGTGGGACTTGCTAGCCTGTAAGCCGATCTCCAGGTCGATACTGTTGTTCATCGCTCCACTGCGGGGGATTCCACCCTCAAAGTGGTACTCCAGAAAAACCCGAACTAACGGGTGTGCTTCGGTGCACCTGCGTTCGAGTAGAGCCGCTACAGCTAGCACACAATGAGCGATAGTGAATCAGAAGAAGGCCATGAATCAGATTGTTATCCAGATGGTGCGCTACATACTACCAAGCACAAGCGCCAGCATGCCCAGACGCCGCCCTAGGGATGGAGAACACCAAAGTACTGCACCTGCCACGCAAATCACAGCAGCACAGACACAAATACCGCACAAATCACAGCGGAGGCCCAGCGACACCGGGGCAGCGCCGGGGCGTACATCGGACCCCCTGGAGAACACCAAAATACAGAACCTGCTACGCAAATCACAGCAGCGCAGACACAAACGCCACACAAATCACAGCGGCACAGCGGCGGAGGCCCAGCGACACCTGGGCAGCACCGGGGCGTACATCCGTCCCCTGGAGAACACAAGTACTGCAACCACAGCGGCACAGACGCAAATTGGTTGGTGACAATTGGGGGGTAGCAAATTGGTAGGTGGCATCTGGTGGGTAGCAATTGGTTGATGACAATTGGTTGGTGACAATGCGTTGGTGACAATTTGTTCAGTTGGTTGATGACAATCGGTTGATGACAATTGGTTGGTGACAATGGGTCGATGACAATCGGTTGATGACAATTGGTGGGTGACAATTGGTGGGTGGCAATTGGTTGGTGGCAATTGGTTGATGACAATTGGTTGATGACAATCGGTCGAGGACAATTGGTTGGTGACAATTGGCGGGTGGCTGCTCCATTTGGGAGACACTCTGGAAGAGATGAAGCAATTGGTTCCATGTTGGTGCATGGAAAGGAACCACAAGCAAGTCACAGCTGTTGCTACCAAGACCACCGACATCACCCACCCACTTTGAGCTCTTGGGTGAGCAGCTCCATAGGATGGCCAGAACTCCTTTGCCAAGTGTTGGCTTGTTCCAAGAGTGTAACGCACCAAGGGCTCTGCTGACTTTTGTGCAAGAACATCTAGGCCAAGAGTGTATGGTTTACACAGCCAACCATGTCAGCCAACCATATCATCCTGCAGGGTGGTTGAACAGTTTACAGGCAAGATGTTGTGCTTTTGATGTGTCAACGGTTTTCCATGTGTTGGGTTGTGGGGATTTTGTTTTTAGTGTGGTATCCGCTCCTCCTTCCTCCCGCCTCCTCCCGACCAACCAATTGTCATCAACTGATTGTCATCAACCAATTGCCGTTTTATCATGTCTTCTGACCACTTGCAATCCACAAATGCAGTCGAAGCAGCCTCCACAGCACCATCCAATTCTGTTCCCCAAAGGTTTTGCTTCCCAATGCTGGCCAGCATGTCCAAAACTTGGCATAAACTGACAAATGCCTCAACAATCAACAAATGCCAAGAAAGTGCACAAGCAAGTAAGTCAAGGTCAATTGAACATCAATAAGCGCAAGCAAGACACTCCAGCATCCAACACAAATTGTGGCACTGAACTGAAATGTGGTCCGCCACTTTAAAGATGATGTCTTGAGGACGGTCAACGACGCTGCCATTTGGAAGGTGGGCCTGGGCCTTAGAAGTCACGGTAAGAGCTGCAAGCCCGTGGCATGAAAACGCAACCTGATCAGAATGATGATACCATGGGCATGCGTCTGAGATCTTAATGTGAACCAAGCAGCTCTCGTTCTCATCCCTTTGATGGGCCAAGCGAGAATGGCGACTTTTCGTGGCCAGCGAGGCACGCTCCACGTATTTCCAGTGCTCACTGGCTGTTACTGTGAGATGACTCCTCCCGCTCGGCGGGGGTGTCTGCCAGTGGTAGCGCTGACGGAGATGCCCCGGGGATAGCCACAAGAAGTACCATTTTGCAAGCCCAGCCGTGTCTCTTCGCAGCGGCTCCTGGAAAGGCGTGGGTGGTCCCGTAGCGCGGCAAAACGTCCGTGAGGTTTACGCCCCACGTCCGCATGCGGTGCCGTGGCCACGGCCCCCATCAACCTCTGACGGCAGAAGTTCTCCAAAGGCCATCGCGTTTGCGATGCCGTAGATATTGCTGCCGTGCCACTGCAGTTCCCACCTTGGCGCCCATCGAGGGACGCTTTTGTGCAGCGCGTCTGCGCCAGGAAAGTCAATGAACCTAGCACTAATGGTGGGGACCAGGGTCCCCCAGCTGTTGATGTCTGAGTATTAAATTGGAGGTCCTTCAGTTATTGAAAAACATAGTTAAATAAGAACTCAGAGAGTTCAAACATGAATCCACTGAGGTCCAGCCAGCTCAAGGAGCTGCCATTTAATTGAAACAACCCAAAACATACAGTTTAATTTTCTAAACTAAATGATTGGTAGTGAGAAGAGACAAGTTGCTATTTAATTGCCTTTTTAAAGTGAACCAACCAGAGCTCAGCTACTTTGATATGTATAATTTTGAAAGTAAATTATCCGTTGGTGGGAGGTGTGAATTACCTTTGGTCAAAATAATTGGCTGAAATATGCACAAACTAACCGAAGGATAGTCTAACCCAAGCAACCGGCTATGTATTTTCTTGACCTGGCCACTTGAAGACCCAGATTGTCTTATTTTTGAATTTTTGTTCTTAATTTGCTAGCCTCCAACCTAGCAGCGAAGGCCTCCACCTAGCTAGTAGTAATGGCCTCCAACCTATATATATATATATATATAATAGCGATGGCCCCCACCTAGTAGCTTCTTGCTACTTTCGTTTTTGTGCGTTTACACCAGGAAACCTAAATACCGCTGGTTTTGAGCTATCGAGTGCTCAAAACCTTGGTATGAACGTGCCTGTTGGCAGCATTGGGTGTGCCACCACTGGACCAAAAACTATATTCTGCTGTGGGAGATGCCCACCCCACCCGATTTATTTTTGGGAAGGGCCAAAACCACCAAGAGTCTTTTAAGCGCCCTTTCATGGAGTTTCATGGAACCATGAAAATGCAAACCGGCAAAAAAGACACCAAGGACCCAATTCTGAACGCTGGCAAGGACAGCAAATTCACTGCACACATCAAACGCTACATTGCAGATTGCTTTGTCTTTTCTTCAGTGTTTGTTTTCAAGTCTCGTCTTGCTTTCTTGCCTCGAAAAGGGCAAGCAACCGCCACGACGTACCACATGTCATGCGATGCGCCAAAAACTAAATCACTTAATTTCCTCTTGCGCCATGATTGGTTTAATTTTCTAGCTTCGCGTAATTAAATGGTGAAAATTGAAGTGGAGGTCAGGGTGTACCTCGTATAATTTACACACCGCAAGGAGTATGAAAGTCAGGCCCCACAGGGGGTGCAGTGTGCAACGGATAGAAGCGCCATTCTTCCCCTTCTTTGCTTCCTGGCAGCTGTGGCAGTTCTAGCCCGGCATTCAAAGCCACGGCTGTCTTCAAATTTTGGGGAAGGTCATCGCCCCAAACCTCAGCCGGTCGAGCACCTTCGACGCTCCATCCATAGCCTCTCTCTGCCAGCCATTGCTCAACTTCTTCCCATGCGTCTGCTATGGCGGTCGGCCCCAAAGCTCCCAGGGCGGCCAGAGATTCTCGCGCCCCTTCCGTCTGCAACGCCGTCCCCCCACGCATCACCTTCACAATTCCATCGGCGGTCTTCTGCGTTGCAAAGAATTCGCGACTCCCCGTCGGGGAACCTCAGGGTGCACTGCCATTCCTCCAATTCACCTTGCCGT